TGCGCTCCCGGCGCCGCCGCCGTTTCGCTCCGCTCCGGTTCGGCTCTCGCTCCCGTCCCGTTTCGGTTCGGTTCGGCCTGGCCATGACCTCCCGCAGGTGAGCGCTAAGCTTAAAATAACATATTTCGGTGCGCCCCTCCCTGCCGCTTTTTTTTTTCAAACCTTCAGTCCTTTTTTCCTTGGTGGCAGCAGGAGGCTTGGGGGCATCTTTCCCTTTTGGTTCCTCCTCTGCTGCCGCTTCCAATTGGGGAAATTTGAAGGAATTGCCTTTCCTGGTGCTCACAGCACCGGGGCTCCGGCGCAGGTGGCCTGTTTGGAGGCAGGACTCATTGGCCCATTCACAGTGCCAGCTTTAAGGTGACTCAGGAAAAGCTTTTATGGCTGTTAAAAGCTAAATGTGTCTTGGCCAGTGATGCTGGGGAACAGTTCAGGGTCCCTTAAAACCGAGAAATATCAGATATAGAATAGAGGCTGTTCAGTGCTGGTACAGCATCAAATGCGGGTAGCTCAGGACTTCCACGGTCCCTGTTCGAATGTAACTCCAGAGACTCCTCATGTGTGTTCCTGCAACACCAGAATTTGGGAACTTGACTAGTTCATGTTTTGGCGGTGTCTCTTTTTTCTTTTCTTTTTTTCTTTTCTTTTTTTTTTTTTTTTTTTTTAAATAATGAAAAGGTTTTGCCATCCAACCTGGTTGTCTCTCCCGTAGATACCCACACACCGCAGCTCAGCATCTATTCGTTGATTAAAAGTATGCAGGAGAACTTTATGTAGGAATAACACTCATCCGGGTGGTGCTGCGGGAAGCAAGGAGACTTGTTTGCTGGCAGGTGATGGAGTTTAAAGGAATGGGCTGGAATCCAGGGCCCCTGGATTCTATCCCCAGCTCTAGCTGTGCCCACAGGCTACTCCGTGTTCATCCACGCTGCCTATAACTTGCTAACCCCACCTTATAGAGCAGTGTCTTAGGGCAGCAAAACAGCTGGGATGCTGCTGCCAGCTCGGCCCTTGTGAGAGTCTTGGAAAACCTGGTCCGTGTCAAGGCCCGGCTGATCCCAAGGCAGCCGATCCCATGCAGGGTCTCAGCACTGCATCCACTGCCTTGCTCACACGGGAGCCCTTGGAATTAAGAGCACTTTAGCATTAATCGGCTTACGGGCTGGCTCACAAAAGCCGCTGGTGCGGAGCTGCTGCAGCCAGTGTGTGCTTGGCCTGGGGTGCTGCGAAGAGCCTTTTCAGGAGCTCCAACCCAAGGCGATGCGGGCGTCCGAGCCAAGGGAATGGCTCCAGGAGCAGGTAGGGTGGGCAGCGGGCCGGGAACGGGGTGTCCAACTGCATAGGGATCGTGGTCTTCTTGTTCCCCTCTTGTCCCTCTTACTGGACTGTGAAACTCCAAGTTGCATTTGGGAGCTATTTGGATAAGCAGATGTCCCTTAACAGCTGATGCCCTCTACAAGGGATCGTGGTCTTCTTGTTCCCCTCTCATCCCTCTTACTGGGCTGTGCAACTCCAAGTTGCATTTGGGAGCTGTTTGGATAAGCAGATGCCCCTTAACAGCTGATGCCCTCTACGAGATGCTCCTGGGTGCAATTAGAGGTCTCCCTATGACTTGCATGGACTTGCAGGCCCCCAAAACCCAGGTTCCCTTCCTGGAAAGGCATTTCCAGAGAGTTTGGCAGATGGCTGCCATAAGCATTTCCCTTGTCCTTAGGACAAGATTATTCTTTACATACAAGTTTCCTGGAATGGTAAGACTGGGAGGATGGAGAAGTCTGGAGGAATTGCATAAATGTGACCTTCCAGATTGCCCCCAAAGTGCCTGGGGGCAGAGCTGGGGCAGCCCCAGTTCTGCAGAGGCGAGTGGGGCTGTTGCTGAATTGGTGCCGTTGTGTGATAAATACGGATAGATTAGGGAGCCCCGTGTCCTCGCTGCTCTCCGTGCTGCCCTTCTGGTGCTCCGAGCCCTGCTGCCTCCAACACAGCAGCTCCCAACGTGCAGTTATTCTCCTTTCCCACCTGCATCCGTAGGAGTGAGAAGCCTCCCCCTTGGCTCCAAGGCCACAGCAGTTTGTGCTGTGGGGCCTGTTTGCGTGTTTTAGCCAGCAGCGATTGCACAAAACCCTCCTGGCTGCTCATCTCCCCATATTCCACATGGTCCAGGAGACGCTCCCTGCAGCCCAGCCAGTTTGAACCCTCCCTGACCCAGAGAGGGACTGGTATTTTTAGTGAAATGCTTCAATTTCTTTAACGGACTTAACAAAAAAGCTATTGAATGGAATACAAAACCCAGAGCTGCATGTCTGGGACAGGCTGCAGTGTCAGGAGATGCAATGCCAACCCTGACCACCTGAGCAGCCTTCGGGCCTTCCCGGTGAAAAAACCCATGCTTCCTGCACCGCATTTGAATGTAAATATTAACCTTACCTATTTGCAAGAGCTGCTTGCTTTGGCAGCGGCGGGGAGGTGGAAACTAATGGCCTGGGATGCAAAAGCAAAAGCTTTGGCTCCTCGGATATTCATTAACAGCGCGGTGTGGGCAGAGCTGCGGGCAGGAAGCAGCAGGACGCGCCGTATCCGCTGGCGGGGAGCGCGCGGCTCCGGCGCTGCCGTCCCTCCGCTCCGGGAGCAGATGCCGAGCGCGCTGAACCCGTTTCCTTCTGGGCAGGCCCTGCTTCGGCGCTTGGCTCCGGCGCCGGTGAGCTCAGCTCCACTTAAGAAGGTCACTCTGGGTGGCTCCAGACGAGCTGCAGCAGCAGTTTTTGCATTTACACTGATTTCGAGCTGCAGCAGCAGTTTTTGCATTTGCACTGGTTTCCTTTGCAGCAGCCTCCTTGCATAAGCCAGTCTTGCAAGCCCTTCCTATCCAGGCAGCCGGGATCTTTTGCTCCCTAGCTTTGTTGCTCAGATTTTCACTGTTTTATTTATGTATTTCTTTGGTCTCTTGTTTTTCTCTGTATGGAGGTCTTTGTGCACAGGAGAGCTCTCTTGGAAGCACAGGAAGGTTTTTGTGGGGGGGAACTTGCAGGCGTGCATGGATGGACGGGAATCGCAGTATTTGCACATGGAGCAGACGTGATTTTGTTTTGTTTTTCACTAGACTTTACTGTGGTAAATAATTATGAAAACAAAGTAGTAATTTAAATTGCATTTCTGTTACAAGCCCCTAGTCAGGTTGCAGATCTTTAAGTGTCCATAAGCATTTTTCTTGCAGTAGGAATTGGCTTATTCGGTTCCTTTTTTGACATCTGGATTGAAAGCCAAGGTCCAGACCAAAGCTGCACCGGCAGCCTTTGGAGCAGGGATGGAAAGCGGCTCCCGCCGCCCCGCTCTGTATTCCAGGAAATGGGTGTAGGATGAGGCCAAACCAGATTAGGGGGCCGGCCTGTTTGCAGGCTTCCTGCGCGAGCCCGAAGGGAAGAAGGAAATTCTTCATATTAAACCAAAGTGGAAATCAGGAACTGGGAGCTTCCTGCTTGTGCTTTCTCTGCAAACAGCTCTCGGTGCTGCCTGCATCACTTTATCCAAAGACCTTGAGGGATGCATGGACGAGATGTGCACCAGCTTCTCGTCCTGGTCCTCCTGAGCTGCTGCTGCTCCTTCTGTAGACCCCGTGGCCACCACAGATGTCCCGTGTGGGTCCTGTGCAAATGGAAATCCTCTTGCTGTGACCCAGCTGGAGCATCTGCTTTCATGCAACTGCCTCCTTTCCCTCTCCAGCTGAGAAAGAACGTTGCCATGACCTTACAATTATGTCTGGAAATGACTCCCATTACCAACCTGCCGTTATTATATGTCTAGTAAATCTGGACTGTGTCATGACTCTGCTGCGCTGCCTGCTAATCTCCTGCAGGCTTTATGGAAATTCCTTGCTTAAATAAATTTCAGGCTGGTGATAGCGCACACCAGGGCAGTTAGGGAGGAAAAAGCTTCGCCCTTCCAACAAGGGAAACAAGGAGGGTTCTGTGGGCACCAAGATGGGGTGAAGAGACAGTGGTTGGGTTAAGAAAACAGTGATGAAGCATCTGCCTTAAAAAAATAAATGGATGGGAAGCAGGCATGAAGAGTGGTTCATGCACCTTCCACTGTGCTCTCATGATGTTTCAAAGCATTCTGCAGAAAATGGAGTGATTCCGATGGGAGAAACTTCGGGAAGACCTGCTCATGGTGTGTGAGAATAAGCAATGAGAAATAGCATCAGTTTTTGTGCTAAATTGATGTTAAGGCCTTCTCTGATATGGGTCACATCCAAGGTAACCATGATATTACTCGCTCGGTCTTCCAAGCCCTTCCCTGTGGCCAAGGTTGGTCGTGGTCTGTCATTCCCGCTTGGAGCAGCTGTGCTGGACACATGGGACAGGGAATTAAGGACAAATTGGGCAGGAGAACTGAATGTTTGATGTAGGCACTACCCTTGGGGCGAGGTGCTTGGCATTAGGGACTTGAAGAGGGTGGGTCGCACACTATTTAATTTCAAAACAACAAAAATTCCCCTTCACACCCTAGAGCAGCATCCCTTCCATGTAAGGTTGTTTCCAGGGCTATTTTTGTCCTTGATTTTCTTTTTTTTTCCCTTCCTCCTCCCCCCATGCTCTCCTGAAACATTTCCATCCGTCTCCTCTCTAAGAAGTGTTACAAGCTCTACCACTGATTAAATTCTAAATATAGCTGTGGCATATATATGTATTTTTTTTCTCTGCAATTCCTCATGATGTATCTAGGTAAAAAATAGCCCTGGCCATTCTTCAAAGGGGACAGGGCCCTGCCATGGGCTATATTTTTGTCTTGTCACCCTGCCCAGGTCCAAAATAAGCCTCCTCGTTTTTAATTAGCTTGTCGGGTTATATAATCCTGAAAGCTGAGGATTTCTGGGACACACGTGACGTGGGCTTGGGCAGATGGTAGCAGCAAACGTGGTGTGTCAGGTTAGGGGTCACAGGGATGTCTTCTCCTCAGGACATCCTGGTGATGAAGGAGCAGGAGTTTGGGACAGGCCATTATTTTTTCACATCAGGTCACCCATCTAGTCCCTTTTGTCTCTGCTTAATAGTGAGGGCTTCTGGGCTCCTTGGCTCTTGCATTGGAGCTGCTTCGGTTTTC